ACAGCATCAGGCATTTTGTTTTAGGCACGTTAATACGCAAACCCGCCACACCGCACTCGAATACGATGCTTTCCGGAGGGGCTGGAGAGGAGTTTCAGACCATGTCAACAACTAGCCAGTATTCTCCTCGATTCCACCACTTTTGTCCTGATACACTCATCGCCCTGACTGCGCCTGATTAGTCTCTTCATGCACAGCACAAACAGAAGAGGGGACAGGACGCAGCCTTGGCGGAGACCAGTACCAATGCTGAGAGTTTTCGACTTGACGGAACTTTTACTCTGACACAGCACCTGCTATCAACATGCAAAAACTGGATGGCCGGTACTAACTGGCCATCGATCAAAAATGTTGGCAAGCATGCCCATAGACTGATTCACGGGATTCGGCCATTGGCCGTTCACAAAACACACGTACACCGGATGAGCGAACTTCACGATTTCTTAACAATCTGATGTATTGCGAAGATTTGGTCAAAAGTGGTGCCGCTTGATCTGAAGCCACAGTGCTGTTCGACAAAATGGCTGAAAAGATCAACTTTCCCGTTACAGCACTGAAGAAGATACAGCATGCTTAAAAGCTGGCAATACCGACAGGAAGACGGTCCATGACCGTGTAGCTTGCAGACTGCAGAAATTCTGCTGTTTCCCTAAATCTGTTGCAGCTAAATCAATCTTTAAAAAATGAAAAGCTCCTGATGATACTAAGAATCTGTTCGCTTCATGCATTCGGATTATTTCCTATCATTGCGAGTGAACTTCGTGTCTGGTCGATTAAGATAGCGCTGTTCTCGAGCAACCGATGCGCCATATTACTTGTGCGCCGATTTCAATAAAAACCAAGTCTTTAACTTTGGAAAAAAACAGATATAATAGAAAAAACATCGTTTTTCGAATGGTGTCTTTCTGCCACAGATTAGAAGCATATTACAGCAGGGGCAGACGAGTAATAAAATTCATCAGTTCAGTAACTGGCATCATCAGATTACGCACAACGGGATGCAGAAATCGTCGCAACGTATGGGTTAGGATATGGTGTGTGAGCAAGGATACTGGGTCAATACAACGAATTCTCTAATCCTAGATTAAATCTTCATAGAATGCCAACGATTTGGGTGCTCACCAAAAATTCCACCAGATTCTTACAACAGTTTTCAAAGATACGTAGATCAATAATAATACTTTTCTGAAACTTATAAACAATATATTACCTGGAAATTTTTCGTTTACTTGGAAACTAGTTAAATTATTGCTTCCTCGTTAACTTCTTGATGACTACTGATAAATACGTTAATCCGCATTTTCAGTCATATCAACAATAACAAGGTAATAATTCAATGGATATTTTCGTGCTTCCTATGATACTGCTGTGCATAAACATTTAATTACGCAAATCGGGTCGAACATGGCTTTGACGACACCCTATTCAGCTAGCGTTGAATTTCGCGTTTCATAGCCATGTAGGCATCTGGCAAAAATAAATGTACGGAAAGACCCAACTGACGGCACTGTTTAACGTTTTGTACAAAAACGATCCGTTACCTATGCCAGCCTGACTGAAGAATCGAACACTGGTGTGAAGCGGAGCACTTTCCGAAATCTACTTCCGAGCGAACAAATTCGACAGTGAACCGAATTAAGAGGCATGGTTGTTGTTTTACACCATCTGTAAGAAAGAAGACTCACGTCGACTTGCGTTTGTGGTACACCCAGAGCGAAGACACAAGTCGAATAACGGAATGTGATAGCTTAATAGAGAAATCACAAAGAGAAGCTTTACCGTATCCTAGATAGCGCGTATAATTCTAGTGTACTTCTTTACGCTGTTTGAAACGTGACTGAAATTTAAAGAAGAAATAAACCATGAATGAATACACAGTATACCATGTACCTGCGGATTGATTATGCCACAGAAGCTGCAAAAGTTGCTGTTTTTTAACGTTGGACCGAGGGTGATGAAAGACGAAAATTAACTTCAGGGATGAAACTCATGATCGAACGAAAAATAGCACCCCAGACGTGCAAAGGATGGCACGTGATAGGGAAGGTCAAATATCGCAGGAAGGACGATCACAGGTCTTCGTTTTTGGCAGTCTTGAAAAACAGAAAACGCTGGAGTGCCAGTTTACGACAAATGTCATCAAAGAGAAGGGCAGGAAGATGAGCACAAATGAAAGGCTCCAAATTCAAGTGTGGACCAAGCATAGAAGGTTATCTATATTCACAAGGTTATCAGCTTGTTCTGTCCTTCATGAAGACATTTTTCAATCATCATGAAGTTCTCTTATTCGTCGAATTGCGCCGGTGCTGCCTACGAAACGGAAGTCCGATGGATCCGATTTCTATTTCATTTATGGCCTGTCCATCAAATGCTTCAATTTCCGTCACCGATTTCAGCATCATCTTCGATTTCATAATCAATTCCATTAACACTGTTCATGAACAACTGCAATTCTACGTTCTTTAATTGAGCGGTGCATAGCTGCAAAACGCCGCAAAGCGATCGACCATGAGCACAGAGCGGCACTCCTAACGATTGTGATATAGCCGTAGGGTCATTCCACATTGCGCGCCTGCAACCACTGGACGGTTAACGACGCATGCTAATACCTCCTTCGTCAAACGATCCATCCGTTTCAGGTGGAACTGTCACACAGTCTGGCAGTTTCTAATTTTGGCAAGCGAGTTCGACGTCGCCTGCCTGTAGCGGTGATTGTTTCTGCCACTGACGGGGACGGCGTACGCTTTAGTTTTCGTGTTCGTTCTACTTTA